TTGTTAAATATTTGTAGCCATTATTTTAACTTTGAAAAGTTTACCAATTAACACAAAGTATATAATACATATTAATATATAAAACAATATTATATATATTTGTAATAATATTAATTACCAATTATTTTAAATATATATTTGTAATAATATTATTTATTATTAATAATATACAGTCAATGCTTAACAATCGAAAATCTCGAGACACGTTGCGAGGAACTTCAAAAGAAAATCGATGATCTTACATCACAGAGAGAAGTTTTGCTTCGTCAGCAAACAACAAATTTAAATCCTGATGTCGTTCAAACGCAATCATCAGTTTCTTGGAAAGCAGCGGTAACGCCTGGTGGCAGCATAAAACAGGTAAAAATACATTTATTTTTTTTTTAAATCAATGATGAATAAAATTATTCGCGATAAAAAACAAAAAATTGTATAATAAATTTTGTTTAAATATATACCAGAGCGCTGCACCAAATTCACCTAAAGTTTTTCAAGAAACTATCAACGATACTAACTTGCAACAATCATTGACGTTAAACTCGAACGAGGAAGAATTGACGGATTTATTAATTCAATTACAAGAAGCTCGTAGTCAAAGGGTTAGAGAACAGAAAAAGGTTACTGAACTTGGCCAACAATTGACAACGTTGTTACAAGAGAACGGTACTTTGGAAGAACAATTAACGTTTTGGCGTAGCAAAGCACAGGACGTAAAGAATCTACAAGATGAAATTAATACTCTCGAAGAAGTTAGGTAATAATTAATCATTTTTTATCTTCTTTCTTTTTTTTTTTTTTAACTACACCTTACAAAATGATATAATTTTTATTACTGAGAAAGAAAAATCATATAATTAAAATAAAAATAATTAATACACCCTGCTGCATAATTAATATAATGAATATATAACATAATTAAATTATAAAATAAAAATAATGAGATTTAATATAATATAAATGATTTTTTTGATTGAATGAATTGTCAGACGGGGCCAATTATGTGGACGTTGTCTTCGTGGAATGGATACAAGAAATCATGATGAATTATCGGTTCTGGATGGTGAAGAGTACGATGACATTAGTATAGCAGGTTCACTTATTAACGAACAACCTGATCCTGAACCAACTGTTGTACAGGTAAACATTAGATTACGTATAGTACTTGCAAGCCTTTCGTTTTCGCTCCGTGTAAGCATGAAATGCATTAACTCATTTATTATAAGTTTAAGGTGCTGCTCCATATACAACACATACACATATTATATTATATTACTTGATTTTTTTATCGTTACATAAATCTCACACATTCTAACGTGAAACTTTGCGTTCTAATCGTATATCGCGGAAAATAAAAAAGTAGTAGTATGCACACGTAATATATTACGAAGCAAATATATATATTTTATGTTATTTTTTATAATTTTTATTTTAAATCAAGAATCTTTACTTCCTTATTCGTAAAGAATATTATTATTATAATTATAATCCTCGGTTTGATAGGATATAATAATGAACTCGTTTACTTTGATTGCAATTTCTAATGTTTAGGTTTTTATATTTCATTTATTTATTAATTTGTTGTTTTTTTGTTTCCAAAGACAAAATCTTGTACTCGATGAAAAAAATGAATTTATATAAGCCGCGTGACAAATTGCAGAAAGTTAATTAATAATATATTTCTTTTATGTATTATATATACGTCAATTTATTTTTTTTGTTAGATTTATCATTTTCTATATGTGTCCCTCCTATTTTGTTTTTTTTTCTTTACCATGATCGTATATTTTTATGCTTAAATTAAGTAATTATTCAATTTTTTATTTGCTTTAGGAATCGATCCCAACAATGTTAACGAAAAGCAGCGCGAAAAAAGAACGTAAAGAATTTGTTTGCCTGTTGTGGAGGATTTTCACTCATATATGGAACGCACCGTCACTGATGCATATCGTTCACGACACGATAACTTACATCAAAGACGAATGCGTTATACCGTTGCTACTGAAACCATTTCGGATACCAATATTTATATTAAGACAATTATTGCCTTTGTATATTCGGAAAAGAATTCTTTAGTTGTATATACAATTTCTTTCTTTTTTCTTTTTTTTTTTTTCTATACGTTCCGAGGGAACATTTTTTTCTAACGCAAAGAACTTAACCAAAATTATATAGAATTTTGTAGATTTTTTTTTTTTTATTAATTAATTATTGCGTTACTCTTTTTTTCTTTTTTTTCTTTTTGTTTTATTTTATTCAAATAGATTTATCATATACGATTTAGGGGTGTGTGATCGAAATGAGCCAAATAATTTTATTTCTAGAATATTAGGGCGCGTTTTAAATTTGTAAAAAAAAAAAGAATTCATAGGAACTCGTAATTAATTTTCACACTCGCATCGTCGTCCATGTTTAATTCAATTGCAACGCGTTGTAATTTTTAATCATTGATAGAGAATGCATCTGAGAGAGAGAGAGAGAGAGAGAGAGAGAGAGAGGAAGCTTTTAAAGCTTTCAATAGAATTGCTACTTTTATGACTTCGCATCAACGTTTTATCTTGTGCTTATTTTTTTCTTTATTTTTACATTAATTTCAATGTAGTAGCATGCCAGCTACGTTTTGTGCTTACACAACAAAATATTCATTTAATTTTGTTTTTTTTCTTATTAATTTAAAAAATTTTTTTCTTCTTCTATATCTTCTTTTATCTTCAGGAAAGAATGGACGAATTTGACAATGAAATTATTTAAATATGAAGAAAAATGTTCTTCCTAAATCTTTTCACATTATTCGTTTGTAACTTTTTTTTCGTGGTAGAAATTTGAATCGAGTCCGATTGGGAAGCATTTGTGTTGTTACGTAATTTTTTTATTTTTGTATTTTTTTTTTGTTTGGAGAGGGAGGGAGGAGGATTTAATTTAAACACCATATTGTTACTCATGCCAAAGCGTAAATATTTTGTCTCAAATTTAATTAGGATTAATTTTTGATAACATTTTTAACCGGGTGAACGATATAATTATGGATTAATTGAAATCATTAATTATAATTAAGAACTTAGATTTTTCTTACTTAAGGGAAATATAAAGTGTCAATTTTAATTGACATACAATTATTTATATACACACAAACACATACACGTATATATATTTGTAAATATATATATAGAGAGAGAAAGAGATATTTTTATTTTTGTAAATATATTTGAGGCTAATTTCTTTTAAATTGAAATTGAATAATCATGGAGAAAAAAGAAAAGATTTTATTGAAAAATTAATATAAGTTAATAATTCATTTTGTGTAAATAATATTTATATGTATCTCGTTGCATAGATTTCTTTTTTAACCAAGAGTTTTATTTCTTTATGTTTTTGCTTTTTTTTTGTAAATTTATTTTTATATTTCTTTTTCTTTTTTTTTTTTGTTTTGTTATTTACTTTATATATACATTAACATATAATTTTTTTATTTCCAAAGAGAATGAAAAAAAAGACTGCATCATATAAAAAATATATATTAACCAATAAGTTTTAATTAATTAAGTTTTAAATATTAAAAATATTTCGAATATTACTAATATATAATATCGAATAATATAATAATAATATTAATTAATTACAATAATAATTATAACACGCGTCGAGAAGGATTATTAAAAAATCTAATTAATGGGATTTAAGTTTTTAAAACGTTGTGCTTTTAATTAGATTTAATTTAAAAGAGAAAAATATATAATTATGGATAAGCGCTTTTCTTTCGTAATTCTCGCATTTGTTAGAAAACTGTTAATAATTTAGTTCGCAATTTATTTCGAGCATGATATATTCAATGTAATAATAATTATTTTAATTGGTACGCCTGTGTTGTCTAGTCGACTTCGTGTGTGGTTTTTAAGAAAGAAAAAGAAAGTGAACAAACAAACAAACAAACAAACAAACATATCTTGTACAATGTATGAGTGCCAGATTTATATGATCTTAAATAAAATATATATTTTTCGAAGACAGATGCTATTGTATTTTTTTAATATCCTATAAATCTGGCGTATATCCTCAGCCCATTCCAATCTCGTTCATCCAATGAAAATTATTCTTTATTCTTTTTTCATATTTTTTAACACACAATATGAACCATAAATTAATTTGACAAATTGAAACAAAAGAAAAGACAAATATTTAACCGTTCGCTATCTTTGGAATGAATTCACTTTTTTTTCTTTGCATTCATAATAATTGCCAAGGAATTATTAGCAATGACTGATTTCCAGTTTTGACGGTAACATATATAAAAAATAAAAGGAACGATCAACGAGAAACTAATTGTTTGTAAAATTAGAAAATAACAACAATAACTTCTCCATAGTTTCTCTTTAAACTTTATATTAATAATAATATAATTATATTTTATTTTATATTATTTTTTTGTTTTTAAAATCATCATCTTACGCGTACATACGAAAAACTTATTTTCGCAGGAGACATGCGAGAACAAGACAGAAGTGGTGATGAACGAGGTGGTAAATAACAACCCTTACAGAGAACTGGTCGAAAAGTATCAAGCTTTGTTAGAAGTCCAGAGATTATCTGCACCACGTAGGAAGAACAGTATACCAATGATGGGTGGTGTTATGTCTCTGCAAGAAGAACTCGAGATGTCCGGTGAATACAATTGTTTCCAAAATCCATCATCGGTTGATAACGAATTGCAAGAACAACAACAACAACAACAACAACAGGAAGTTGTTGGAATGAAATCAGGAATGATGATTGGTAACAGCAGCACCATCAATAACGGTGTTAGCGGTGGTAGTGTTTGTGGTGGTGGTGGTGGTAATGGTAAACCTGGAAAAGGAGATAATAATAATAAAAAAGCATTTTCCGCAACACCAACAGACTTTTCCGAAGCGGAAACATCGTCATCCGGGTTTGCCGATGAAACGAGCAACAAAGCTACCCAAACCGATGGTAGGCCGGGTTCGTTCCTCTGTTCGATTGCCGATGGGGAGGATTGCAAATTTAGCATTTACGATGACAACAGTCCGTTCGAGAGTAGATTTAGAAAGACCCCGGAATACAGGCAAATATTTAGCGAGATATTTGGGGTATTGAAACGTGCAGCTGAAGCAAAAGACGAAGGTGAAAAGTTACCCTTGTTGGATGATCAAACTAATAACAGTAACAACACTAGTAATAGTAGTAGTAGTAATAATGGGAACGTTACTTACAACGTTACCGATAATTCAGATAATTGTAATGGACAGCAGGATGATTTACCGAGTGAAACTACGGATGATAATCAAAGTGTCATGTCTTCGGTAGTTTCTTCGGTAATTTCATCGGTAGTCTCTGAACCGCCATACAAAATGCAACAAACGCCATTGTCATCGAAGGAATTAACATTAAAGAAAGAAACTACAAGCAATGATCATTCGCAAGCGGTTAACGGTAAGGTTAATGATAAAGTATCGTTGGATAGTAGGCATGCTACTAAACTCGATTATGTTAGCGTTAACGTTCACGTTAAAAAGAATAAATCGTCGGCTAAGAAAAATACCGCGAGAAAATTGGCATTCGGTAATAATGGCGAACGTCCGAAAACACCAAACGTAGTGTCAACCACTAATCCAACTTTCGTACAAACGAAATCTAACAGTGGTGGTAGAAGAAGGTTCAGAGCATTGACATCAACTGAACAGGATGTTACAAATGTTTGGAATAATACTTCTACGTATAATCAATTGAAAACACGAGAATCACCGAATCCAATTAGGAAATCTCAAATTTTCGTTAATCGTAATGTTACGGAACAACATAGTCATTCCTATGAATATAGCGAGTATAAACCAAGTACAGCATCGGAAGAGGTTGCTAAATTAAAACGTCTCGAATTGTCTTACGCCGAGGTTCTTAGAATGCCAAACAAGTCCAAAGGGAATCATCATAGAAGTTAAACTACTAATTATTATTATTATTATTATTATAATCTCGCCAAACACACACACAAAAGTAAATTAAAATAATTATAATAATAATATTAATAATTAATTAATTAATTTATATGATATACAAAAAAAAAGAATCAATAATTAACAACAAATGATTTAAAGAAAGAGACATTTCTTTTTCTATATTATTATTATACATATAATAAAAAAAAACCAAGTGAGATTATGTTCAAAGGTTCATTAGATTTAGATTAATAATGGAGCGCATTTTCAAAGAGAATTTATTTATTTTCCACGTTGTGTTAATGGTAGTACAGTATTGAAAGAAAGAAAAAAACAAACAAACAAACAAAACTCTCTTTTTTAGTTATTACATTATATTATATTAAATATAGGTAGAGACATTTTGTAAATATATATATTTCGATTGATTAAGTAATGTAATAGTTCTGTCGAGTTAGATTTAAAAAAAAAAACAAGCAGTTCGTATTAATTTTAAGTTTATTTTGTATTTATATTGCCTATTTTTGTAAAAGGTTCGTTCTTTTTTTTTTTTTGGAGGTTTCCCCCTTTAACCCCCTGCCGACATTAACGCACACATACATACACACACATACAACATGGACCTACAGGACACGTTACACTTTTTAAATAATTTATTAATTAAATTTTGTTGGTAGGGTGAGTGAGGGGGGGGGAAGAAAGACGCGGAGGGGTGTGAAAATGAAAAAATTAAATAGAAGAAACATTTATGCCCGAATTATTATAATTTCAATATATTGTAAGAATTAACAAACAATCCTGTCTCTAAAAATGAATGCAGAAGTGCTAAAATTACTAACGTGCCATTCGTTACATCAAATTGTAATCATAAACTGCTACACACATACAATAATATTTCGACGATAAAGTTTTTAGATGTGTGAGATTAGATTATCTTCGAGAGAGAGAGAGAGAGAGAGAGAGAGAGAGAGAGTCATTTTGTGCATGAAAGAGAGAGAGAGAGAGAGAGAGAGAGAGAGAGGACTTGCATGTAAGTGCGGTAATGTTTAGCTTTTATATTCAAATAATTCAATTATTAAACGGTCTACGATATTATGATCTTCATCAATAATAACAACATTCATCGTCGTCATCATCATCATCATCATCGTCTTGTAATAGAATATAATAAATTCTTTCTCGGTGCAATTCTATACTTACTCATATTGTGTCTATGTATTTTATATACAAGGACCCTTAATTGTTATTTTATGTAAGATTATGATTAAGTTGCTATCAAAAAAAAAAAAAGAAAAAAAAAGAAAAAGAAGAAAAAAAAGAACGTTATTTTTTTTTTTCATTTAAATTAAAAAAAGAAACATATTAAGCGAAATAATGATGAGACAACAATAATAAAAAGATAACCCATATAAGATTGTACGTACAATACATATGTTTTATTTAATTCTTTTTTTTTTTTTCTTTTTTTTTAATATACAATTAAATAGTGCATAATAATTAATATATTTCGGCTTTCCAAATAAATCCCATTT